TAATTAACTGACAATGGTACACCTGATTGATATGCTTGGCATAACTGAACAGCAGATTCAGAAAAATGAGTATTCATGAATAGTATCACTTTACACTTTCCAATAACAAGGCTAGCAATAGAGAGAAATCTCTTTCAAAACAGTGTATGCTCCTATTATTCTACAAATACTTTAACCAAAGCTAGTTCCCATCAACCATCCTTGAAACTCCACCTCCTTTTCTGCTTCTCTTCTTTTTCTTTTTCTTTTTTATCAGCCAGAATGACATTTGCCAATCTGAATCCTCCCTCCATCCTAGTTGGCACAGTGTCAGCATCATGTGTCTCCAGTAATATTTGTACTCTAAAATTACGGAGTTATACAATTCTGACTTCACTTTTAACTTAGCTTATTCCCCCATTCTCCAGAAATAAAATAATACTACTTGCTATTTCAAAGGAAGTTCTATTTTTAAAGCACTGAAGCACTTAGAATTCCTCCTGCCAGCCCCTTTCTCTTCACTCCAAGCCACTATGGCTCTGGTGCCACTTGCCCACCTCTTAAAGCATTACCTGTAAATTGTCTACTGCAAACATAAGTCGCAAACCCTTAATTTAGTTCCTGAGTCGTGCAAGAAGAAAAGGTACGAGTGGAGAAATTTTCAGCTTGGAAACCAGGGGGTAAGATGCAGGAATACATACAATGAGCAGCAGCAGGTATGAGAAACATTTTATGTTGTAATTTAAGGCAAATTCCTTACAGAGGAATCTTTCTTTAGTAGCCATATTAATAGTGGAAAATTGAGCTCTATGTGCATGAAAAGCTTTTTAAAGGCTTTGCCTCCACAAAATATGGCCAAAAGCAGCACTGATCAGCTCAGCTAGCACAGATAGAAACCCAACAGAACTATGACACTGGGTTTTTTTGGTTCATGCATTTCAACCATTGAAAAGATGTTTCTGTAACGTTTTCAGCACTTTGAAAGGTTTTATTTTGAGGTAAGTAAAGCAAAAACTGTAGAGATTTGTCTAGCATCAACATGTCAGGATAAATAATGACCAGTTAATAGAAGTATAATAATGCTACTCCATTTGGAATATTCTTGATTAAACTACTGGCAGGGACTACTAGGATTTACAGAATGATTGCTTTTTTGTTTTCTCTTCCTTTTATAATTATTTTTTCCACCATTGTGTATTATTTTAAAACTGCTTGCTAAAATTTCTTTTTCAAGCTTGTTAGAGGCAGATGTTTCTCAGCCCAAATTTGCTTCACTTCCTCATGAATAAACAACAAAACCCATGGCCTCCAAAGTGAACTTTGTGTCCAGGTTTTTTTATTCAAGAGCTACAGAGTAGAAATTCAGGTACATATGCACCATAGCCTGTATGAGAAATTTACATACCACCTTGCCTAAGGGGCACATTATTTTCAGTACTACTTATTTTCCCATGAAAAAAATGAAAATATTTGGAATATATGGTTGGTGTTCACTAGCAGTTATTCTAAAGTCTGACTTTTTTTTTCATTCTGTAAATGAATTGCATTAAGAATGGTTTGTCAAATATGTTTTCCTTTCCCTATCATTCTCATAATGTTTGGAAAATGCTACAACTAGAGCCTTGCTGCATTCAAAACATCCTTACACTCACTGTAAGAAAGAAATTTGTTTAAAATATTTAATGTGTTTTAAAAATTATTTTCCCTTCCACTTCCAGAATGTCACAGAGACATGGGCTCAACATAAGGCAGAGGTAAAAATATTTACTTATCTAACTGGTCTTTTTATACCATATTTAATTTAATTTTAATCATTATATAATTCTGTGATTCTTGTAAATTTTAATAATTACCTTGACAATAACTATGATATCACAGTAATATTCATAACCTAAAATTACTGATTTATACAATTCTAACTTCAGTTTTAACTTAGCTTATTTCGCCACTCACCAGAAATAAAGTAATACTACTAACTAGTGCAATGGAAATTCCATTTTTAAAAGAAGTGAAGCACTTAGAATTCCTCCAGTATATAGACTTAAGTGATGCCAAGCTCACTTATGGCATAGTCCTTAATGATATTTTTAATATCAGAGATAAGTGCGTGTTTTCTGAGCAAATAGTGGTCATATGAAAAATGTAAGCTTTTCAGGTTGGTAGAAAAGGCATAAAAGACAGGGCAGCTCTGAAAAATCAGACACACAGCACTGAAGGCAATAGATCAGATGTCATTTGTTGGCCAAAAGCCCTCTCAAAGTGATGCTATTATTAGGAATAAGTTTGTTATAACTTGTCAGTGAAGGAGATTGACTTGGCTATGAACTTGACATCCCTGTTAATCCTCTTGAGCCAAGTACGGTCTGGCCCAAACATTAATAACCCCTTTTCTGTGCACAGCAGAAAAATTTACAATGTTGCTCCCAATGTATTCTGGCCAAATAAAAGAAAAAAGACCGAAAAAACAAAAGCAGCCCTCTTAGCAGTTACACGTTATTCAAAATATGTTGTTTTCATCAACACAGGGGAATTGGAATGAAATGCTGAAATATGTGGTGTGGAAGGCTATGTCCTATGCATCCTGTTACCAAGGAGGAAGGTCAAGATGCTGTCTAGATGACAGCAACTCTTTATTTGAGATTATTGCAAACAGAACAGGAATATGAGAATATTTTCATGTGTTTGCATGCTGATGTGCACACATGTGTACAATGAACAGCACAAACAACCGTAAGAACATGGAGACATCACCTGACTTTCTTACCAGTACAGTGGTACAGATGCAATGTTCCACTAAAAATCTTTTATTTACCTTGGGAAAAATGCTAACCGTTAAGTGAGAAAGGCATGGCTTAGAAGGCTATCCATATTTAAAACAAATGTGATTGAAACAAACATTTTAACTTGTAGTCCTCAGCACGTATTTTAGCACTTGTGTTAGTGTGCATTCCCTTTGCTTAGAGCTGGAGAGCTCTGGCTCTCTGTGGGAGGAATGTGAAATAGGCAGGAAGAGGAGATCCATGTGTCAGGGCCATTGCTGTCAAATGGCCTCCTCACACATTGCAGATGTTGTTCAAGCATGAGCCAGGGAGTGTGTGGAATAAAAAGCAGCCTATGTTACTTTAGTAGGGAATAAATTCTGCAGAAAGCTTGCAGCATTCTTCTGTTCCACAAAAGAATTTCACCAGCAGGAATGAGTTCTATACAGGACTCTGCATGGGCTGATCTTAGGGGTACTCTTGGTATATCAACATTAGTTTTACACCATACCAATATTTTCCTTTAGGAAATTGCAAGAAGTTCCAGCACAGTATGGCCATAAGCATGGCTTATGCTAAGAAAGAAAACTGTTCTGTGGAATAATATATATCAGTGTTTCACTTAGAAATCAATTTTTATTGGCAACAAAGTCAATTCTGAGAATAAAAATTTTTAAAAGGGTAAATTTTCTGGCCAAAAAGTGAGTAGCTGATAATGATGGGTCTTGCATCACAGTCATAAAAATGATGACTTTGTCTCATGAGACCAAATAATAAAGATCTGGGATTGCTAGTCAAATTAAAATATACCAATCTCTCAGAGAGGAACCACAGAAATTTGAGTTGTGACCGTATAATATTTCAGATATTGTATGATGAATATGTGGTTTATTGATTTGACAAGTAATACTGTTTTCCCTCTGGAAAAAAGTGAATTTGTGGCAAATGGCCTAATAGAATGGTACAAGTAATTGATGGAGTTCTGCACAGTCTGTTGGGTGAGATGACAGATCCAAAAAGCCTCTGCATTATTAGTTTGCTTTTTGTCACAGTGCAAGATGTGGCTATAGTCAAAGTAAGTTTAAAAAAATATTTAGCATAAACCAGAAAACACTAGGGAGAAAATAAGAATAATTATTAACTCAATTCCTCTGTCAAGACCATTTAAAAATCATGGTTGAGATAATTCATAAATAAATATAATTGCCACTGCAAAAATTTTACTAAAATTAGGAGTTATATTTTGAATTACTTTATATGTATATATATATATATAAATATTTAAAGTGGTCTTTAGATGTATAGTTATACATTTTAGATAATTATAGGTTAACTTGTTAGACTTCTACATGATAAAAGATATGCAAGTGCAGAAATCTCTGCAGATTCAAAAGGTTCACATAATAAATGCTTTTTCTCATTTATACTTAAAGATAAGCATTGTTACTGCTGCCCTACACACCTCATAGCCTTCTTAAGGCTACACTGTGGAAATTTAAATTGAGAGACAAATAATTTGCCTCTTGCAGTAACAGGAATCTGTTAATAATTTGGAAAATATGAGATTGTTCTTAAATACCTGTTCCTTCAGTGCTGGCCGAATATATCTTTTGGTCAGTATAGTTTCTCTCTGCTTACAGCAAAGCTTGTCAACTGATGTACATTTTTTAAAAGAGGAATCTTGAAGCTTTTTGTAAAAACATTTATATAGTTGGAAATATAATGATTAAAGGCGGCATCAGAGGGCATTGCTTATCTTTTAAATTTCCTGACATTCCTTCCCAATAGTGTTTTTAGGAGATGAATGCCATGTTTGCAGAGTTAACTTATAAAGCTGGCTGCTTGGCCTTTTTTAGCCACTCAATATAGTTTTAGCACAAGATAAAAGCACTTGAAATGTACAATCTAAGTCATCAAAACAGCCAACATATAGAATGTCTAGATAGAGCTTATTCAACATGAGTATGTAAATGAATGAAATTTTAAGAATTGGACAACAAACTGTTGCTGATAAACAATGAAAAGTTCTGCTATGAATTACTATATAAGATACTAAATATTTGTGTCTCCTTGTTTGGCCCAAAAGACTGACAAAATCTTTAATGGCAAAGTTCTTTACCTCTGATTTAGATAATACAAATCTTCACCAGTTAAAGAGTCAAGTATCTGTAGGGAATATTTGCAGAGAAAACCATATTCTTTGGAATTTTGATAAAGCATTCTGTGTTTGGAACGCAGGTAAAACAGATCACCAATTCTGGGTTTTTTTTCCTCAATAAACTATGTTTATTGTGCCAATTCTAATTACCATGCAATCTAATGGTTTTAAGGCTTATAATTTCCACATCACTGGACATCACAAACATGAAAGCATTTTATACTGTCATTATACATCAATGTTTGCAGTTGGTTATACATATATACAGAAATTATTCACACATCTTAACCTTGCTATTTCCTCCTTTCAAATCAACATAATTTTACTGTGAAAGCAGCTTTTTAATAAATGGTATAAGAAATACAGCAAGGCACACATTTTTTAAAAACTTTTTTTCTCATTACCACCTCAAGAAGCATAAAAACCCAAAATGTTATACTTAATTCAGTAGAATGTCAACAGTTTCTAATATACAACACTATGTAGTTGTTTCTTGAAGTGTTGCATAGATTAATTTTTTAAATTAAATAAATAAAATGCCATTTATTTAAATTGCTTAATTTTTAGATGTATTGAATCAGGAGGACCAATGACTTCTTTTTGCTGCAATCCAACAAAATAGTCACTTTAAAAGCAAAATAGTTTCAATAAACTTATGCATTATACAGATAAATATTAAATTTGTTACATAAAATAGAAGAGTACTGACAGGTACAATTCTGAAAAGATGAACCAGACTGATCGTGAATTCTATAGAACTTTAAAGAACAGACCAGTGGTAAGTAGAACAGGAGCATCCAATTTAGGAAGGGGAGGTCATTAGAGGTAGCTTGGGAGAGGAATCCATATGAAAGCAAATGGCCTTGCTACAAAACAAAATGATCACTAAAATAGGACTAGCTTATGCAGCCCAACCACAAAGCCAACATGGACAAACCACATTTGGAAAAAAAATTTATCTTGGGAGTCAGTTTAATGAAGGGCAGTGATACAATGGAATTGGAGGTCATCCCAGGGTTTACAGGATGAACCTGCACCTGAATTGCAGCCAAGTTTCTAAAAGGAAACAGAAAAGTAATAGAAGGTTACAGAAAATGAAGTTTTATTTGCCAAACATAGGTCTTCCAGAACAATAATGCCATTTAGCCATTAAATGGTCACATGCCAGAGCCTTTAATGCAGAAGCATACAGTAGGCAGAAAATGAATTTTAACAGCCTGAGGTACAAGTTAGTGTACAAAAATGAATTGATGTAGAAAAGTCACTGATTTTCATAAAGACTTTGCTTCTAAAGAAACAATGGTATTCATCACATTGGACCTTTTCCCTGGATCTTGTCCTCATCTGTGCCTGTGAACTTACCTTCAGCACACAGAAGTGCACCAACCAATGAAAACATGGAAATTTTCAACACTCAAGCAACAAAAAGATCTATCCACCAATTTTTTAGTATTTGTGCAAACATACATAGTGAAACTTCAATGGAGAAGAAGATTGTCACAGAAGTGGTCTGTGAATAGAATTGTCAGTATCATCACTGCATTTTTAAATTGTAAATAACTATTTAGACACTTCTAGTACCAGCAATGAGTTAAATTTGCCTACTATAGAATTATCCAGCTCAGAGTTTAGGGTTAAACTATTCAGCAAAGAGCATGAGCTTATGATGAGAATTATGAAGAAATAACTGTCAGAATACAGCTCAAAGATTAGTGCAAAGTACATCTCATAGGCATTTCCTAGGAGGCACTCCAGACATGCATTATGTGCCTTCCAAGTTAAGCAGGAATATCTGGATCTACCCAGTTACCATCTCCTTTGATCTTTCCTGTAACTGTTTTCCTGTAACATCCCTCCCCATTTATACACAAAATACTCTTACTTGAAAATAGCGAAAAGCTCAACCATCTGTTTAACTATTAATGAAGAACTGATCTGAATAAAGTGGAAGATTGTATCAAAAGATTTCTACAATTCTGGCATGAGTAAGAAAGGCCTCACTGATGGATCAAATTTTTCAAAAATGATGTAATTCATAGATTTAAATACAAGATTCTCTGTTTATTTATCTTTTTTTAAAGTCAGGTACTGTAAGGAGCTGAAAAGTCAGACTGCCTTAAACTCTATAAAGAAACTTTATATTTACTTCCCTATAAAAATCTCTAGGAAAAAAAAAAAAAGAAGATAAGCAAAGATTTCAATTATTATTGTAGTTCCAGTCTCTAAAAGTAAATTACTATATACTAACTATTATGTAAACTCATATTTTTTTGTTCTCCTGTAGTAAATAAATAACTAACAGTCCTTTGCATTTATGTACCCTCATTTATCTGTGGATCTCAAAATACTTTTACATAAATAAGCTATCCTTCATAGGTGCCAGCGATCATTATTCTCATTGTTTTGTTGCTAAAAAAACAGAGACAAAGAAGGAAAAAGTCATACAAAATATCTATTGCTGAGCAGGAAATAACAGTCAGGCGCTTTGAGCACCAGTGCTGGGTTTCTCCTGGTGATAGTAAGTGGCAGAATATTCTATCTAATATTGCAGCACTGTCAGATAAAATCAATTTAGTTTTCTTAAGTGCAAGTAAATTACTTTTCCCTTAAATTAAGTTAAAACTTAAATTTAAAATACAGAAGTAAGGAAATAGCTTTTGGGTTTACTTGTAAGAGCTAACAAATTACACACTGAATTCTAAGGCATCCTCTAGAAAAGACTTTGGATAGAACACATAAATGTCCAGAATGTATTGATCTCTATGCATATTGAATTTGTAACTCGAAGTTCCCATCCCATTGGTGAGTCATGGGTCACAGGGACAGCAGAAGATTGCATGATCTCATGTACAGATAGATCTTTCAAGGTGACCCCTAACTGGGAAATAAAATCAGCACAGCTTTAGGAGCACCTCTGTTGAAGAACTGCGTGTGGCTCATCTGAAACACTAGTCAGTGCTGGCAGAGATATTTTTTAGCCTGCCCATAGAATTGTTATCATTTTCCCACAATGGTCTTTTTATTTTGGTTTTGGTTTTGTTGTAGGTTTTTGCTTGCTTGTTTGTTTTTTGTTGTTGGTTTGGTTTTGGTTTTTTGTAGCACACTGTTAAACAACAGGATTGCAACTTTTGACAAAAATATTTATTCACTATTAGTTTTATTCTCTTGTACAGCCAAGGTAAATACTAAAACAGTACAAAATCAACCTACATTTGAAACCATGCATTTTTCAGCTTTGAATTCTCAGTAGGCTTTTAAGGTACACATATAGTATAGATTTTTTTTCTAAGTATTGCAGCTACACATGGAATTACACATTTAAATGAGCTTACAGCACAGGTGCTTCAGGAAAAATAATGGTGTTTGCCATTTATCCTTCAAATTAAATAATGTGTTTTTAAATAGTAACTTTTTTCATAATACACTTATGGGAACAACATTTATCTGTCACATTTTAAAAGATGTATTAGTAATAAATGTAAATTACCTTTGGAAAATCAGTAATTAGCCTCATCAAAAAATAAACAATCTGCCACCAAAAAGATAATCTTTAGCATAGTTAAGTATAATAACTGTTATTTGAATAAGTTAACAAATTAGGATAGATTGCTTCTGTAATTCATTCCCCATAGCATGAGAGATGAAGTTAAAGCATCAAGCTTGTGAATGGGGGAAGGGAGCTCAGACTTTAGTGAAACCAAACCTAGCAGCTCATATTTTCATTTTTGGTATGTCAGAGATAAACTGGACGTATTCTAGAACTTTACTACTGGGAATAATACAGTACATAGTTTCCATGGAGGTAATGCTATGTGTACAAGTTAAGAACCAGTGTATCTTCCTACATATAAAAAGTGGGAATGTAGTGTGTGAAGGGCTTTGTTCTCCTAAAATAATTTGTCAGCCCATAGGCAAAAGTGGAAGCTATAACATAACCCTATTAAGCTGTTGCATGAAGATTCTGCATTATATTTTATTGCATCATGGGGCATTTATTTATCCTCTATGTCCAATCTTAGATGTCACACAAACTGCATATTTTCATTTCCAGTCTTAAAGAAAAAAAAACCTGGCTACCATGGAAGTAACTATAAAGTTCTGAAGAGTGAGGTAAGTTTATGCAGTATTTTGAGATCCTCAGAGCAAAAGTACTAATAAATTGAAAAGACATGTCATTATCTTCATCAGGGAAAGAATGAGAACAAGGATAAAATCGCACTCACTACAGCGAGTACTCTTCCTCAAAATAATACTATAAAAATGAGTGAAAAATAAGAAAAGTAGTAAAACAATAACTTGGAAAGCTTATGTTTACATCAGTTTCAGTTAACAGTCTCAGACTTTGTTGTCATGTCAATATCCAAATGGAGATTTCTATATACACATAATCAATTTAATTTAATTCTAAAATACATAAAAACATCTATGAGTTTTGTAATTCATAGTTGATTTTCATTCTCCAGTTTTTTGGATGTGTCCAAGTAGTAACCTAGCAGGCAATCAGCAGGTCATGATAGCCTATTTCAAAGCCAGAAATATTCCAGAAATATTCTTTTTGCTATGATGTTTCCAAGATGACACATTAGTCAAATAGAGATGTGTTGAGATAGCAGCAAGCTGTAGACTACTGCTGCAACAACTTAAAGGCTTTGCTAGATATATATGTGAATGTGGGAATGCTAGGCAAACCACCAATAAATGGAAAACCCAAAGCTTAGAAATATAACAAAATCTAAAATGAGGAAGTTAGATCTCTAAGAGCAGCAAAGAAATTTATTTTGTTTAAATCAAATGAGATCCTTTGCTACAGGTGCATAGTTTGCCATAGGAGAGTACTAAAGTTTTCCATGGGCAGTAATGAATTACAGCCTTTTCTCCTGGCAATACCATTGAATTGCAACATAACTTAGGTTGGAAGGAAACTTGAACATTAACTGGTTCAACCTCCTTTTAAAAGGAAGGCTGTTTTCAATGGTAGAAAAGATTATTCAGGGCCACATCCACTTGAATTTTGAAAATCTCCACAGATAGAGATTCGAGAACTTCTCAAGGAAACCTGTCCCAGGCTTAGCCTTGTGTTTTATTGGAAATTCCCTTGCTACAGCTTCTGGCAAACAGCAGCATTTGGAATTGGATTGGCATTTGGAGTTGCTGCTCTGTCTGTGGTCTGCTGGAGGAGTGTTTCCAAAGAATAATGGCATTTGATAGAGCTGTGCTGGCTTTTGGGTCACCAAACTAGTGAGACTGAAATCAGCAGTGCTGCAGGCTAGGAACTGATCCAAAAGTTGCTTTGTAGATCCTCTTCTGTTATTAAATTGTTCCACATTTATGTGAGGTCAGAAATTCCAGATCTGAAGCACTTTCAAACATTGGTAGAGATAGGACCACCTGTTACCTTAGGTTTGACCATCATATTCACGTTTCAAAATGCTTACCAAAAAATAAAAATGAAATACTGCTGGGTGACTATCAGTTTCCATCTCCATTACCCTCATATTATTTACTTTCATGATGTTGTAAAGATCTGTTGTTTTGGAAACCTCAGCTTTTGGCCTAATGCTATGTTGTAATAATTTTGTTCCTAATAATGGCTTCCTGAATTAAAGTCATGGTAAACTGACATCAGGAGATGACTTATTATCACTCTATTCTCCAGTCTGCTTAGCCATTCTTTATGGTTTGTCTAGAAACATTGTAGAACTCCATCTCACTAGTTAAACACACTGGTTCTTGTAGAGCTGGAAGTTCAGCTTTATCAAGTGCTTTTGAACCCCTTCTAAGACCAGCTGACTGCAGAGAAAGGCATCAATGAGCAGAGATGTTTTCTGGGTCCCTCAGCTGAGGAGGGAAAGGAGGCTGATGTAATATGTTTGAAGAATTCCCAGGTTCTGCAAGATAGCAGACTTGTTCCAGAAGGGAGCAGCTCCAATCAGTGCAAAGCCAAAGGGCAAAAAGCAATTAGTATTCACTGTATTTGTTGGCTAGTGGCATGTAAACTGGGATTATAGTGTAACTGAAACAAATTATATAGCACTATCATGAAACAGAAGCCCTGGCTGACGATTCACCTCCTTTCATTGTACAAAAAAAAATGTTGTAAAAAAAAAGTTAAAAAAAAAATAGTAAAAAAAAAGTGCAACTTGTAGAGTACATACCTGTTTTTAGAATAATCTATGTGCCTGGAGAGGGTTACATTCTATCTGTGCATATTTATATGTCTTTCCTTATGAAGTTTCAGGAGATTTTCTTCACAAATAAGAGTTTTTCTGTTCTGATGCAAACCATCCTTTTTCTGTGAATGGCCAGGCTTTATCTGAAACTCTGTAGCTGAAGCCTCTTCAGAAGCAGCAACACATCCTTTTTTCTCTTCTGCTCCAGGTGATTTTCCTGCACTACTCTTTTTGATGTTAACGTCTGGAGAATTCTTTTCCAACCTTTCATTTTGTCCATCTGAAAACAGCAAATCATCATCAGCATTTTTCAAATTACTTGATGCACATTTTTTGCTAGTATCTTGAATATTTATATCATTGTTTTCCCCACATAAGAAAGATAAATCCCTACCTTCAGAGGAAGTTTTAACTTCTAATGACTTTGGAGTCATTTCACCTAGTGACTCTGCAGATGTTTCAGAAATAGTGTTAGAAATAGGTTGCTGCTGCTCAACTTGTGCTTCAGAAGAACCATTAGAAACAGCAAGCTGCTGCTGCTCAACCCGTTCTTCCTCTGGACAGGCTTCAAAGAAGCATTCAATATCTTCTCTCTCATCTGTGAAGTCCTGTGGCACAGGAGTGCTGCTCTTTTCCTCTATGTATTTGATTACCTCTCCACAGTCACTATCATGAGAAGAAAGTGAAAGATAGGAATAGAAGTCCCCTTTTCTTAGCTGGATGGGTCTGTGAGAGTGTTCTAACACTTTTTCCTTGATCTGTGCTAATGAAGCTGGACCAGATGACTCACACTCAGGCTGTGACTTACTTTTCAAAGCTGTTGATGCCATGTCTATTATCTCCCTAACAAAATTGTGTACTGAGCCATCTTCCATGTTTTTTTTATCAAAATCAGCAGATTCACAGTTACAGCACAAGTCAAGACCATTGGCTGATGAGTTGCATTCTGCTTCACTGGATTTCAAGGCTGCACAACAATCGGGAAATTTTTCAGTAATGTTTATTCTATGTTGTTGACCACTAGGTAAGGATGGCTGTAAAGCTGTATCTTCTATGCCTACAGAACTAATTTCTGAGGAAGATTCAAGGCAAGGCTTTTTTGCAGGAGAGGAAGTGACAGAGTGATGATCAGGCTGAAGATGACTTTGACATTCTCTTGGAGAGTTCCTGGATCCAGCTGAGGACAGAACTGTCTCCTTGCCATCCATGTGTGAATCATCTGAACTGTCTGTAAATGCTTCACAGACACCACAGTCATTTTCAGCTTCTCTGACATCAAGTGATGCATGGGTTTTGGGGGTTGCTGCTACTCTAACAAGACCTTCCTTTTGGCTGCTGAGAGTATTTTCGACATTGCCATTCTCCATATCATCCACAAGCTGATCCTTCACAACCTGAGAGATGTGTTTCATTGGGTGACTCTTTGTTCCTTTTTCACGATCACATGGTATATTCTTACTATTGCCATTATTTTCTGATATTTTCTGTACTGAACCATTCAATAGTGTTTCAATGCTTAATGTATCTGTGGCTTTTGATGTCTCATTACTAACTTCTTTACTGCGCTGAATTTCATCACTGAGGTTACTTTTTCTTTTCTCCCTTGTCAAGGAAAATTTTGGTCTAATCCAAGTTTGGAGCTCATTTTTTATATAATCAAGTCCTGAAATTAAATTGCATTCTTCATAAATATCCTCATCAGTTGCTATACTGGAGTCGTCATCTTCATCTTTGATACCTAGCTCTTCCTCAGTTAAGGTAAGGGTGGAACTTGAAAGCAAATCACTGTCATCTTCATCATCAGTACAAGCAGAAGTGCAAGAGACATTAACAATCATGCTGACATTGACATCGCTCTCATCAGCTACAGATCTATTAAGATGTTTTCTAAATGATGCATTTGAATCTGGTATTTTATTTCTGTGTAGTACAATGTCTTCAGAGCAGAGAGAAAGATCCTCGCTGCTGCTGAGTTCAGTGAGAGAAGCTGCTGAATCTTCATTGATTGAAGATGCAATATCCAGAGACAGCTGTCCAGTAAAAGACATTTTTTGAGAGCTACTTTGGAGTGTTATATCAGAGATGCTGCGTTTTATTTTTTGATCGGAGGGACTCTGGATATTCTCTAAGCGATTCAAAAGATCTAATGTCCTTTTACTGAGCTCTCCAACAGAATCACTGCTTGCACTTATGTCTCCAGAGCCGTGATGACTAAAAAGATCTTCGTTGCTTTTGTAGGAAGTCAGCCAGCTCTCCAAGGAGGCACTTCGCTGAAGACCATCTCCACTTTTAAAAATACCTGAGCTGAACAAATCACCTACTACAGACAGAGATTCTAAAGAAGAACTATGAGATAAAGTTGAAACCTGTCTTGTATTCTCTGTAACAGGTAATTTTCTTACAGTTTCTGCAGATTTAGAGGAATTGGGATCTGATTCTCCACAGATACTTGCCAGAGTATGATCATGAATAAATCCATCTGGTTGTGACTCTCCAGACTTACGTTCAGATTTACCAGATATTTTGTCAAAACAAAAGTCCTGAAACAACCTGCCCTCTGTATGTGTTTTTTCAATCTGTGATTGTTTCATTATTACTGGTAATTTGAATTTGGAGCCCTGAAGATATGAGTAATCATAAAATGTAAACACATCATGTTTTCCTTGCAATTCTTCTAGACAACCAGGGTTAGATTTAGTAATGCTGTCCAAATCCTCATCATTTTCACTTCCACAACATGCAGAAGGACCCAATTGGAAATCATCTGAAAGACTAGTATGATCTTCTTCATCTTGCTTTAGGTTTGGTTGTATTACATTATCCACTTGGCTTTCCACATGCCCAATTTCAGGATTACTCTGACTGATTTCAATATCATTCAGCAAAAAAATTTCCGAATTATTTGTAGTTTCTGTATCACATTCACTCACTATCCCACTCTCACTCTCAGAATGCCTGCTTATGTTTCCACTCTGATACATGCAGTTATATGATTTCCCCAGTGTGGTACCTCCTATTAGATCTGGCAGGGATTTAGTAGATGAAAATGATGAGTCTTTACTGAGACTTTTGTTTAAAATGTTAGACTGCATTACACTGGAGAGTCTGGATGCTTTTTTCAAAAAAGGCATATGTTTTTTCTCTGATAATTCAATATTATGAAGACTATAGACCTGATAGATGTGAGGATTTGTAGGGGAAGTAATGTTGGGGCAATAAAGAGGACTTCCATGATTATTGATACTTTCATCTTCATTCACATCATTATCACCACATTCTTCTGAAGCAGGTTTCTGGTTTAGATCATCCTTGTTGAGCTCCTGATCAGGATCACTTAAGTCTTCGTGAATACTGATGAGCTTATTACTTATGTCAGTTTCATCCCATTCTAGTGCATCTTCACTTGGACCATTTAGATCCATCAAACTGGGATCAATAACATTTAGAGGCTCCTGTAAAAGAAAAAGTCAAAGATTAAAAATATTTACAGCTGTACTTTAAATGTGCTTCCACTAAAATCATGTGAGTTAATGGAAGTAAAGTGCATTTTTGGAACAATGATCACTAATAGGCTTTTAATTTTGTTACATCTTGTGTGCTATTAAAATGATCAATTAAAATTAAACCTATTACATTTTGAAAAATTTCTTAGACTTTTTACTTTTTTCTTCTTATTTGCTGTCAAAATATAATACAGAAATTTGACTTTAAAATATATAATTGTGATTAGTCACTTTACATATAATAAATTTTAACTTAGAATCACACAGGAGTATGTTAGTAAAAACCATGCAATTATGTTGGATTACGAAAATCTTTCTTAGCTTGCTGAAGTTAAGATGTAAAGGATTTATGAAAGGATTTTTGAAATGTTTATACCAAAGTTCTGTGTAGTCAGTCTTAAAACAACAGATCACAAGTCTTGATGAATTTTGTCAGAATTTGTATTTATTCTTTACTTGATACTAAAGGCAGTATAAATGACCAGTAAGCAAGACTAATGAATGTTAATGTTCAGCTGAAAGATCAAGAACTAAATGAATTTCAAATAATGCCTGCCCTGATACCTTTCTCTGGAAAAGGACTGATAAATAAGTGAGAGGAACTTAATTTTCCTTTTTAAAGATTGGTAACTTTCCAGTAATGTTTGTTATTATGACTCAGAACATAACAAGAATTGTTCTGTCCAGAAACATGTGTGGAAGAGGAAGAACATTTTGATAACTTTTCTCACTCAGGTGTGATTTCTCAAGCAGACAACAGTACCAAAACATTTTAAGCCCTTGAAAATAAGACTGAAATGGTTCCTGATCTGGGGGTTGAGCACAAATTAATTTCACTTTATTTTTCTATTTACCAAGAGGCCTCCATATTAGAGAAGGCTCTGCTTACAAGTAATAGAACTGTTCACAAATATAGAATTGTTTAGTTTAAATCATCTGAACAGCTGAACAGTGATCACTGTATCCAGAAACATAAACACTTCTTCCAAGAAACCTTTCAACTCTGATCTCTTGCTTTCTCTAATTTTCTTTGAGCAAGTGATGTTTTTCAAATACAGCATTGACATCACGCCAAACAGCAAGAGCAAATCCCAGCAAATATAAAGCAGAAAAAATGAAGCTGTAGTCCAATGAAGTGCAGTTCTGAACAACTTAGTTGCTGACTTAGATTCATCAAGACTCAGCCAAGGTTAATTGTGCAGGGAAAGGCACGTACTTCCGACTTCGATTCTCAGCTGGAAACTCTCTTTGAAGTAGGAACTAAAGCTTCACAGCCCTTTTGTGAGCTCAATAGTTAGGACACTGATTTTGGACACTTTGCCAGACTGGGCATAAGAGATATGAACCAAGCTATTCTCTCATGAGAAGCCCTACCTACATGCTGTTCTTAAAAGAAGCTTGCTTGTCCTGTGTCATTTAGCATAAAACAGATATTGATTTGGTCATAGATAGATGAGGAGAATTGCAGTGTTGTGTTTGGCACACTTGACCAGCAAGAGACACAGACAGTGCCAAATCTCTGCTCCAGTGCCTATTTATTTATGGATATAGGCGGCATTGTTTCCGTGCAAGACACAAGGCTATATCATCCCAGTACGTCCAGTAAACAAAAGGCTAAAACAATCAAAGGAAATCAGGAGGAATTATTTCCTCCAAACTGGGCAGCTATCCACAATTCAATGGTGTAATGTGATTAACTTATTTGATAAATCAAGACTCTCTCCATCTAAGATAAATCTGTGTCCTCATGCTTCATTTGGCTTAGCTGTAATGTAGGTCCCTGAGTACTACAGCTGTGTTAAGATCCCTTTTTGTAACCCTCTTTGTGGATCTACCTTCTCCAAAGTTTTTATAAAGTACCTTTGTTGGAGTTCTTTTTTTTTCCCCATGAGACATTGGCTAAAGTTAAGTTCCTGAGAAAACACCCATCTTCTAGACAGCTATGGCTATCAGAGCAGTTCTGTACATTGTGGAGTCCAGAAATCTTTGTTTGGATTTGCAAGTTTGCCGTGTTTTAATAAAAGTTCCTGGTTTGCACTTAGTTGGACTCAGTTTCCCACCTGTAGCTGAACCTTAACTAACATTTAGGTAAAATGCAAGAGACTATAATTATTTGAAAACCTGTTAGATTAAAAAAGAAATAAGATTCAATGGATCATTTTCTCTGTGTCATGTTTTACAACTCTGTCATACTCAGCATTAGGAAGACATTGCTGTGGGAAGTTTCCCAAACTGCTTGTTTTTAGCTTCTGCCAGCTGCAAGAAGAAATTACTGAAGGCAGGAAATCAGCAGCAGGTTCCAAGGATTTTATGTTCCACAGAATCTGATTCTGTTTCTCAAAACATAACATTTGGTCCTTATTGGTCAGGAAGATAACCTTCCCTCTGTAAATCAGCACTTGGCTGCCTTGTTTGTTCAGCAAGTCAGATGGACTAAAACAATAAAACATGTAGAGTTGTGACCTCAGCCCATTCATCTTCACTGAGTGCTCCCCACTTCAAAGCCTATTTTTTTGTTCTTAAAATGCACATGCTTTTCTGAGGCCTGGCATATACTCAGAAGTTTTGCAGGCTTAACTTGTTGGCAGGGGATTTTTTTCTTGATTTTATTTTATAATATTTTCCTTCTGATTGTTGTTTATACTTGCAAAGACTCTTATGTGGATATGGTCATTTTACTAATATAGCTTTCTCTGTCCAAGGAACTGACTAAATTGGTATTAGTGAATTACTACTGTAGTTATAAACATTATATCTCTTGAAGTACAAATTTAGTGGTTATCAGCTACACTGGCAGCCCTTCCAAAGTACAGAAAAAGTTTTAACTTTGAAACAAACCACTCAGCTTAAGTCACACACATTTAATATATGGCACTTTTAGTACAGGTAAATATATTCCCAATATTTTTTTACAAAATTTAGTTAACTGTTCAAACAAGGCAGAGATTGAGGTAGTTTTTAGAAGAGCCACACCATAGCCTCTGGAATAAATCTCAGAAGTGAAGAATGGAAGGTGGTGTCACTCCAGCCTACATTTGCACTGACAGAGGCAGCAAGGTAAAAAACCAGGAATTTTTAGGAACTATTCTTCTAATATCAGACATCTCTTTTTCAGGCTGCTCAGTGCAGAATTAGGATGCTGGATGGTTAGAGTTATCATGATAGTAACAGATTATTAGGTATTGTCAACAGACTGTTTAAAATTTTCCAGCCTTATCCTTTACTTGGTGTTATACAGAGGAGGGTACAAATGATAAATGTCAGGTAGTGCCAGAGATAAATTCTGTTTGCTCGCTTTACTGGGAGAAATGGTGTTGTTTCTTCTTCTATGTTCTTCATTTGAAAGAATTGTATAGTATTGTAAAATTCTTCTTTTACACAAAGCAGATTAATCTACTGCCCTGCCATTTCCAATTGGGAAAGCTTTACTTGTGTAAGAGCTGCACTATGTTTCTTATTGTGTTTCAGTTAATTAAGAATATGTCTTTCCTAGAGCATTTGCTCTTACAGTCTCCAAAGGAAGTTCTACCTATCTATGATGCCTTCTTAAAATGTAAATTCCCAAAAAGGAAGGGGTCTATCACAGACAGACATGGTGATCTCCACATGTAAGACAGACTATGTTTAAAGAGAATCTTGGAGTGTGCTACAGAACTTCACATTTCAAAGGAGTGAGCCCTTTATGCTGACTCTTAAGCCCTGGCTTTGCTGAAGCCTGTGCCAAAACGTTGCAAAGGTACTGTCTTTGCCTGTCTGGCAACAACTTTTGGGATATTGGTTTTTGTAATTGATGGCACTATATTTTCTGGAATTAAGAAACTTTTTTTTATACATGCAGGAATATGAGTAAAAACGTATATTAAATTTTTCTAAGAATGGGTAGTTTTAAAGTAGGTCTGAGCGGCCTCTATCATTATAAAGTCACTAAATACCACTACATTTAGAGAAGATCTCTAAGATCAGTAAGAAAAGTAAGAAAAGGCAAGTAGTTTCAACCAAGAAAGTAAAAAAAAATCCCAATGTAATAAGAATCGACAGATGCACAATATTATGCATATTCCTGTTTTTTACATATTACCACTAGATAAACAACAGTTAGAAAGCATTTATTGTTGCATGAAAAGTTTTAAGTATGATTAAGTGAATAATCAATTAAATTATAGACTCAGAAGATTGAAAGGTTAAATTAATTCTAATGTACTTGAAAGTGCTGCATTAAGGATTTTAGCTGTTCCTACTTTGAATCCAGAACTATTTTGCTCAGGAAAGCATTCCCATTTCAGTGGGATAACTCTTGTGAGCACAAATAGCTGTGTGCTTAAGTCCTTGCAGAGTTGGTGTTTAATGGCTAAAGAGTTGATCTGCAGAAAATGTTAATGGGAAGAAATAAGGTTATTAAGCCAAATAAAGACATTTCCTCAGCCCCAATGCTCTTCAAGGAAAAGTGTCAAAATGCAATTTTTCATTTATTTCCTTTACCAAAACAAGAATAGTTTAGCTTTTTTCTGAAGCAAATTATATTAAACAATGATTCTCTGTTTTGGCTTCATTTGCATGTGCTGCTCTAGTACAGATACTTTGTGTTGGTGAAACAGGCCTGTAATGTAACCCCTACGTACTATTATATTTTTTTAAAGGAATTAACATGAAAAAAAGAGCTTTTACAATAATAAATACAAACTCTGTTCTTCCTCCCTCCCTGCAACATATCCTTCAGTTGCTGTGGCCAAATTATCCAAATTCAACTGCACTTAGGGGCCAGGGGAAAAAGAAAAAGGGCAGAAAACCATCCCCCACCTCCAGGAATGCATGCACATTCAAGGAAGACAAACATGATTTTGTCTTTTGAAAAATGCAAGCATGCCAAGTACTTCTTCTGAGGGAAATAGTCATGTGTACAGTGCCACTTCACCTCTGTCTCCCTTAAACTCATTTCCTAAATGGTGTTC